GTGGGGCGTTTCAGAGTTTGACTACTCTACTCATAAAGAATCCCCTGATATATTAATGGTAAAATCTCCTTTCCTCCAAAAGCAGTTGATATCTCCCTATCATTTGAACGGTCCTTGGATAAAAAGTGTATCTGCTGAATCTGTATATATACTGTAACTTGGATATGTTTGTACAAATTAGATCAACTATAAGTCATCTTATTTTCTTCCTTGTTAACCGTTTTGTGCCAAAAGTCATTGACTTCAAAATGCCAAAGTCAAATTTAGTAGCATCAACATGTGTCCATTAACTTGACAATTATTCTATGACTTTGAATAGCATAATCATTTTTAAAGGACATTTTTTTTTTGAAGAGGGAGAATGTTTATAAACATATCCCCAAAACTGGGCATTGTGATGGGGAAACATTTATATACAGATAGTGGACGGAAAAGAGAAACTTAATTTAGTTGCCTTCTGTTCTACCCACTCCAAATCAACCAGGCCTTTCTCCTAGTATGGTGCCCCAAACTGTCCTCCATATTCAATACAAATATGTATTAGGGATGCACCGATACCAAGTACGGTACTCGGTACAAGTACAAGTATAGATACTTTTCCAGCTCCAAGACTAGACTAGATAAAAATTCACAAGTTAGGAGGCAGCTGTCATTTGTAAGGAGCGCACGGAGCTCCTGGGATTTGTACATCTCTGTTTTAATGTATGATTTTGTTTTTATAAATATAAATAAAGGGATGCACCGATACCAGTTTTGCGAGTTCAAGTACTGGTACTTGCCCAAGTACGAGTACTGATACATTTTTGTTTATTGTCATGGGACAGTTTTTCTAAAACAATATCCACTAGTGATTTCAGGACAGTGGTGGAGCAGCAGAGCCAGGTCCCAGCTGCAACCGCTGCAACTCTGGTAGTTCTCGTGAAAATGCCAAGTATCAGCATTGGTACTCGAAAAGTATCGGTGCATCCCTAATATGTATACCGGTAATTGATTTATACAGTGGCAATGTTATACTTGCTGCATTAGGTGTCTCAACGTCCTAGTAATTTTATCCCAAGATTCTATTTGCTTTCTCAGCTACAATTTGGAATTGTTTGATGCTGCCTTGCTCATGGTTAGCCTCTATTACCAAGTCATTTACAGAGTTTATTTTCCCCAAGTATATGCCATTTAATATATAAGGGAGAAGCCACTAGTACAGCCTAGGGTCATAACCTTACCTCCATGTGCTATTTTGTCAAGATAACTCTGTAATGGTACTATCCTGCTGGATTGAATTCCCTCTATCATTTTGTGTCATTAGCAAAAATGACCACGTTACTCTCTCTTCCATCCACCAGAGTACAAATGGGGCTTATCTCACCAGCACACTGTGTTGCCTTTCATTGCGGTTATATTTTGTTGCATACATTTCAATGCATTATGAATCAGTAGCAAGGCTGGCACAGTACATGACAATTCAAGGCAATGCATATGCAATAATGCTTGTGTCTCCATTCTAGATGTCAGTTTAAAAATACGATATGGTGTGGGAACGTGATGTAGGGTCTCCCCTGGGAGACATCATGTGGCAGCAGTCCTGGTTACACACAAAATCTAGCTCACGCTGCATCAGTATGTTGGAGATTAATTACAAAGTATTAATGAGATGGTACATGGTACCTACGAGAATTGCCAAATTTCGACCACAAACCTCTCCACTATGTTTCAGGGGGTGCCCAGACCCGGGAACCTTCTATCACATATGGTGGCAATGTCCGAAAGTTGCGAAATTCTGGGACAAAGTGTTCCGCATGATTTCTTCTCTGTTTCAGCGCGCCATGCCCAAAGACCCCACCTTTGCCCTCCTTAACTGTAAGCCAGCGGGGCTCCCGACTACCACCTTTAAATTGTGCCTTTACGTTCTGACGGCCGCAAAACGAGAAATAGCTAAATCCTGGTTGTCAAGCACGCTCAGCATCTCTAATCTCAGAAGGCATGTTAACTGGATGATGGCGCATGAGAAACGGACTGCACAAGTGGAAAACACCATGCCGAAATTTGAGAAAGTATGGTCCCCTTGGATCGAAAAATTTATGCCCACTGATGACCATTGTCGCCTCCTCACCTTGTGATAAAGAGATCACCTCATACTGCCACACCTACTTGTTCCTAACCGCACATAGCCCAACTCTCCCCTCCTTTCTCTTTTCCTCCCGCTTTTCCCCCACCTCTCTACTTTCCTGAGACCTCTCCCCTCCACCCTCTGATGTATCTATGTTAACGGGAACGTCGGACCCGGAGAAGACTGGCCTTAGTGCCAACTGGAATTTGTGTACCTCCCTTACATACCTTTGACATTACAAAACCATCAGGCCTTCCTGGTGGACTCCGATACCAGTATTTTTCAAAGTAACCACATACGATGTTCAATGAACCAACTTGAGCATACAAGAGCACAGGTTCACTAGATCTACCTGGAAGCTGGTTATTACAGCTGGTAACCGCCTCTAAGGTCCGACACAGATGAATGTTCTCACCCTGTACATTGGAATTTTATGTACCTGTTGTTATCTGCTTTGTAACCTTGCTACATTTTATCTACAATAAAAATGTATTTGTTAAAAAAAAAATACGATATGGTGGCCTATCAGTAACTGAGCAATATAGAAAACTAGGGGAAATAAGTGTGCTCTGTTAGGGTTGTATGAATATAGGAAACAATTCTTACCCCCCTTAGAGGAAAATTACTGTTAACACCTTGCCAACCTGCAGTATCCTCACAACCTAGCAACCAAAGCAGTGCTCTGTCCACCAGCATGTGTATGGAGATGTGGGGGCTTTTAGCATGTTGCACATTGTTGTCTACAAGTCATCCCTTCAGAAGCCCCTTTTCCACCCACATGCAGTGCACTGTGGGCACAGAACTATAGAGCACTGATTTAGTTGCTAGGTCGGTGAAAGCCAGATGGAACTAGCATTTTTGCTACTGGAGATAACGCTTTATTATCTTTTTCAAAAACCCCTTTATTTAACCTATACTGATCCTAAAGTCCATCTGGGCAAGGTATTTTGTTCAAAATTTTTGAGTAACCTAATTCTCACTTGAAGAATATTGAGAAAAATATCGGGACTACCATTGTGGTAATTTTAATTGCCTGGTATAGCTATATTTATTACATTCTGAATCAATATGTATGCATATTGGGACCGTTAAAGTCCTGATCTGCATATTTGTTATGGGTGGTGCCACAGAAAGTACTAAGGCAATATAATAAACAGAATAGCCAGGGAAGGAGAAGTCAACAGTGGCTAACACTATACATCCTCAGTATATCTTTAATATTTTCTTTGCTTTTTTTTATATTCTATTTTTGACTGTATCTTATAGAGGACCTATATTATCAGATCTATTATAAAACCATAACATGTCTTGGGAATGTACTTTTATGGCCTTAGTAATTTGTTTTCTTTTTGCAACTTTGATTGCATTTCTTATATTTCCTTAAAGTGACAGGAAATAAATCTTAAAAATGCATTCAAGTACCCTGGTAATAAAAATGTACCTAATTTTTGCACTAATGAGCTGTAGATTCTCAAATCATCTCTGAATTGGTGCCAATTTGTATTGAGATTGTAGTCCATCACAGGAGTGATTGTAGTCCATCACAGGAGTGAGCTTGGAGTGGTGGCCACTTTACAACACACACAGGGACCATGGGGAACAAAAGTAGCCACCCTCCAGAAGGAAGCACAGTGTCGGCATGAATTCAGAGATGATTTGAGCATCTACAGCCGAGTGATGCACAGATAAGATGTACTTTTGTTAATAGTTAAGATACAGGAATACAATTTTAAGATTTAACTCCTGAGTTTAGTGTCACTTTAACGTATTTTCAGTACCCTAAACCTTCCGAAATTTATATATGTTTTTCTTCTATGCCTGATCTATAAAGGTTTCCAATTACGCTTCTAATAATTTAACTGACACATTTCCAGTGCTTTTCTGACTTATTCAAACTTTGATTTTCTAAATATCTAAAGTTTTTGTTTAGTATCTTTCGGACTACTAACTTAAATAATACCATATTGTGACTACTGCTGCACACATGCTCCTGACCTCCATATCACACAATTGAGCTTAGCTATGAAGCACAGTCTCCTTTCTAGTTGATTCAGCAATTGTTTGTTTAAGTTAAAAAGCCGATATAAAAAGGCAGTTGTTCTTATCCCTCTCCACTGCCTGCAGATGCACTTTAGGTCCATGTTTACAGAATCACGCATTCATTTTCCTTTACTCAGAGCTTGTTCACACCAGCCGCCTCGCTCAACAGCACGGCTGCTGCTGTGCGTGTGCCAGTATGGTGCTGATGCATTTGAACCGCATCGGACTGTTTCTTTTTCTTTTTTGTTATAAATGTATTGAAAATGTCACAAGTGACATTTCATTAGGTTATATGAGCTCTCCACAGTGTTATGCGAATGTACCAATTCTCACTGCAGTGCAGTTAAAAAAAAACTTTTTTAACCCTGTGGTGTGAACCGTCACCATCTATGACACAATGCCTTGTCTTGTGTTTGGGCTGCGCTGGAAAAAATGGCCAGCGCAGCCCACACACAGATGGTGTGAATGAGCCCTCTAAGCAGAAAAACAAGTGCTGGCAAACAGACCCCTCCCCCTTTTTTTCTATACTTTCCACACTTACTACAGCCATCCAGATTCAGTCATGGCCAGAATTTATTTTATACCCTTTATGTTATAATCTCAGTTTGTCAAATAATTTCAGCTTGTCAGTTTTCTTTGGAATGTGCCTTGCATTTGATATTTTTTACTACTGAAGTTGTGGCTTAAGTTGCAACATGTTAAACTAAAGACCTGATCCACATACTTGGCAGCCTGGTTATCTAGGAACAAAACAATGCCTAACTGACATTGTCATAAACAGGAAAAAATGTCTCATTATATGACAAATTTGTTGGTTTGCAGCGTCTTTGATTAATGTATTTTTTTTTTTTTTTAGCCCACCTTTCTCAGGGACAGATCCAATCAAAATTTATAACATGGTGTTGAAAGGAATTGAAAAGGTAGACTTCCCACACCGCATTGGACGTCGTTCTGAAGATCTGATCCGTAGGTTGTGCAGGTAATGATTAGTAGATGTTGCTGTGTGTACTGAAGGTGCGAGGAAACTGCTATACTCAGACAAATATGAATGGTTCATGGTTGCTTCAGTGTGTTTTTTTGCCAATATGACAAATACTAATTCAGCATGCCATTACAGGCAGTTTACGAACAAGATAGGGACTGTAGGTTTGTTCTTAAGTTGAGTTTGTATGCAAGTTGGAACAGATACATTTTTTTAAGTGTAACTCCAGCATAAGGAAGGGTTTACCCCCGGTAAAGTTTGTTTTGCTGTGTGTGCCCCTGTTCAGAAGATTTCACCTCTCTTTCTGTCCCTGTGACAGTTGGATTTTTAAAAATGTTGGGTTACTATGGAAACAAGGTTTGGTGATAAAGCTTCAGTGGAGACATATTTTTCCCATGATCACTCTTACATGAGTGAATTTCCCTTCCTAGGGGTAGATTTCCTTTCACTTCCTGTTGTCTCAAGGACAGGAAGTGAGATGAAATCTTTCTAATGATACAGACAGTAGTGACCCGGAAGAAGAGGTGGGCACCCCTTGTCTGCACATCTAACAAGAGCCAACTTCCTGTAACGTACGTACAGTACTACAAACCAGACCACAAACTACTCCTGCTGTTCAGTAATACCCTCCGTTTGTAAGTAGGAGCCATATGTAAGTCAAATGTATGAAACTCGGGGACTGCCTGTACTTAAATCAGATACTATGAGAAATTTCAAAAAGGCAAAAACAAACAAAGGTGATAACAAAATGCCACAAGGTTAAAATAGTTCAAATTCTATTTTAAATGTTTCCAGCTGGGCTGAGAATATCACCTCCTCCCAGGATGCATTACTGTAGCCGGAGCAGCCAATTTCCTGACTTGATTGAGGGTTGGAGGACATTAACCTCTATAGACCAACGGACATGGAGTTTATACAGGGATTGGTTTCCTATCTCAGACAGATTAACAGAGAGGTGAAGGAGCACAGGGAAGGTCAGGGGAAGCTATCAGTGGGAAAGTATAGGCAAGTTATCAGTGGGTATGTTGAGCATTCTGTGAATGGACAAAGGGAGATCCTGTCGCTCAACTGGCCCTCCCCTCCCGTTGTGCATTTACAGAATGCCTTGTATTCAGTGACAAGAAGGAATATCATTCTCAGCACCCGAAGCTCACAGCTGATAATAGTATCCAGCATGAAAAAAACTACCATTTTAAGTATCCCCAGTTGCCATCTGGACCTAGTTAAAAAGCATTTAGGATAACTTCTCTGGACCAAGCAAAATTAAAGCCATGCTTTTTTCGTTGGAGTTACACTTTAATTCACCTATATGGATTTCAACTGTGTATTTAGCCATTTGCCCGAAGTGGAGCTTTAATTGAAACCCTTGTTACCATAGTCATAAATAAAATTAATGTTTTCTATATTGTACAAATTTACTATATTTATTTATTCAGAACATTTTATCATGGGAAAGTTTTTTATTACTTGGAGTTCATTGCATTAAGAGCCCTCTAAGTGATATGGCACTTGAGGGACTACTGCCAGTCATTTCCATTAGTCATACACACTTTTGAAGTACAGTCAGCCAGCACACAGCAATGTTTTATCTTGAAATATCCATTAAGGTCCTATAGAGTCTGATGTACTGATGTCCTTTTCTCTCTCACTCAAAGAACAGTGGTGTTTTTAGTCTTTTATAAGAGAACAAAATCCTTATGAACTTTAGTTTTCAGTATTTTTCTTTTATCTAGAAACAGGATTCTTTGTTCACCACAGACCCAAAAAGTGGATAAAACCTTTCAGTTTCAGCCTAAAAAATAAAAGCTTGAACAATGCTTCTTTGACTTTTCTGTTTGTAGTAAACAAACCCTTAATAAGGAGAAATTGGGCTATGCTATTCTGCTGCAGCTAAAATTATGAATATGCACCAATACACAAAATAACAATTTATAATTATACAGCATAATCAGAGTCACCATCTCAAATTGCTGGGTATTGTATAACTTTATATACACAGGCCCTGGAAAATGTACAATTTTATATGCACAGGATATCTGTCCCTACAAACCTCTCTGACTAAAATAAAAGAATGAATGCATTATTCTCCTTGTTAAGGTATGATGTGCTTAGCTCTTTAGCTTTTGTAGAAATGATCCCAATATGTATTGTTGCATTATGTAAGGCGCTAACAATGTGGGGTGCCATACACATTTTAAAGGAAACCAGTTAGAGCATATCAATATGAAGTTCACCCTGTCAGCTGGCAGCATGATGTTGGCACAAGCATGCAAGAGAGCCTGTATATAATCTTGGGTGATCCACAAAGCAAATATCACCTAGGAAACAGTGCTTGGCTCAACCCCTTCTGCAACTCTCTAATGGAAGACTCACTGATCAGTCGAGAGCTGTGGGGGGTGAGATCACATTTTCAGCTTTCCTTTGGAAGTTCAAAGTTTCATATTGAGGGTCATTGGTTTTAAGGGCTGCTGGAGTGCCCTAAATCAGTGGTTCTCAACCTGTGTAACCTCAGAACCCACATTTGTCCTTGGTCATTAAGCCGCGACCTGGGTCGCACGGCATTGCGTTACCACGCGTTCCGATGCGGTTGATTGAACTGTGGGAGGGAGGTGCGTTTGGGGTGCCATTTAAGTGAATGGCATTGCAACGCACCTCCCTCACCAGAATGCGTAGTAGGTGTGAATGCATGGTACAGTGCGTTAATTGCACAGGACTGTTCGATTAACGCACTGTTCTGGTGTGAACGGGCCCTCAAAAACACAGACACACACAACCACAGACACATTCTTACACACACAAATACACACTCCAAAAAATATATATATGTATATATTTTTTTTTAAGATCCACCCAGTTTTCCTACCTTATGAGAACTGGAGTGAGTTCTCAGCCTAGGGTCCAGTGTGGGCTGCTGTGCTGTGACGGAGCTCCATCCATATGTGCATTGCTTGTACAGCTCCCTTGCGCAGGCTGTAGAGGTGCTGGCAGCCAGAATGTGACGTCACTCCGGTCCAGGCACCTCTACAGGACATACGAGGGAGCTGTAAACAATGCATGTATGGATGGAGCTCCCTTGCAGCCATACCCCCAGCCCACCCCACCTCAAGCTGACACTTAGCTTGACAGTCAGCATATTCTGAATGGCTGCTCAGTGTGAGAACTGACAGTGCTGCGCTAGGGGTAGGCTGAGAAGCCTCTCAGCTAGAAAAGTGGAAGTCATGCCGCCACCCACTGATCACGACCCACCAGTTGAGAACCAAGGCTCTAGATGATAACAAAGGCTATATGCAAGCTCCATATTATCATGCCAAGTTACATTAAAATACATCAATACAGGTACACTTCAGTAGGCTATTACCTAACATTGTGTAGTGCTTAACCCTTTTGTGACGGGAGACGTACACTGTACGTCCCATCACAAAGTGCCTATATGACTGGCCACATACACTGTACGTGGCGAGTTATTTAAGGCTCTGTAATGCCGGTAACCGCTGATTCTCAGCGGTTACCAGTCATTAATGAATGCCTAAATATTGAGGCATTTATTAATGAAATAGTTAAGCTTTTGTAAAAGCTTCCTTCTTTCATTAATGAAAGAATGAAGCCGTTACTTGCAAATACGGGAGCGCTAAATAGCAATCCCGTATTTGACAGCTGAAAATAGCAGAGAGGTAGCAGAATTACTCACCTCTCTGCTATTCGTTTTGACAGCTCGATAGCCCAATGTTTATGATACATTTCAGGCACAGTGCTACAATGTATCTCTTTGCCTGAAATGTATCAATTCTGATTCTGACATGCTGTCAGGATCAGTCTCTAAGGTTATTATTAGCTGTTGCTAAGTTTGGAGCAGCCTAATAATAGCCAAAAAAATAAAAAGTTAATATATAAAATAGCCAAAAATTAAAAAAGTAAAAAAATAAAGTGTAAAACAAAATTAGGAAAATAAAAATTATATATAGATACATTTTTCATACTATAAATTATTATAAAAAAAATTCAAAAAAAATCTAAACTTGTGAAAAAAGTGTTTTCTTCTTGTTTTTTTCCTATTTTTTTTATATTTTATTCAAACTAGGTGAGGCATTAGATACACATGTTTGATATAATTATATAGCCCTATCTGTCCTCTAAAAAACAATATATAATATGTGTGGGTACATTTAGTTTACATACAAGGGCCCATTTCGATAGGAGCCAATTAACCCACCAGCATGTCTTTGATTTAGATAGGATAGGAGGATAGGATAGGAGCCAATTAACCTGCCAGTAATGTCCGATTAACCTACCAGCATGTGGAAGGAAACCGGAGTATTCGGAGGAAACCCATGCAAGTACGGGGAAAACATTCAAACTCCTTCCAGAGAGTTATCTCGAACCAGGGACCCCTAGTGCTGCAAGGCAGAAGCGCTATCCACTAAAAAAAAGCTGCTCAAGACTTCTTAGATATTTTCTAAATACTTCTTCAATTTGATGCTCTTCGGAGTGGAGTAAGCAACCCATCTGAATAAACCCAAATGAGAGTGATGGATGTTGCCTTAAACAAATGGCTTCAAGCAAAGTTTGTTGAAAGCTACAGCCAGCACTCTTGTTAAAGGAAACCTGTCATTAGAGAAAATGTCACTGTTGACCTCTCCTTCAGCAAATCCTAGATATCTGGCTCTTGCTGAAATTTTTGCTTCAATAGTTTGATATGTTGCCCATGTCTACAGATAAAGAAATACTTTACTCCATCTTTCTTGATATGCATACTTTTTTCAGGGCAGCATTTTAGAAAGTATTAAAGCTGGTGGGTCCAAAAAAACACAGTCAAATAGCATTCTCAAAAAGAGATCAATAACTGTAGCCCCTGATTCTCTTTATTGTAAGATTTACTTTAGGTTTTCTATTCATCTTTTGCAGACTGGAACTAATGGATGTTTAAATTATAAAGGCACTTTTAGCACATATTCTCTATTCTTACTTGCCCCATCAGCTTGCTCAAATAAGTCCCTTGT